CCCCCCCCAGAACTCCCAACCCATCCAACCCTCCCCCCGCCCCCTGACAGCCCCCCGGGACTCCTTACCACCATGCTACTCCAGTCCCTGGCTCCACGGGGAGCCAAAACAAACAGGTTGCGGAGCCCACAGCCCCTCCCCCGCAGCATGCTGGCAAAGTGAGGCTGAGCCAAGGGGAGGAGGGGAGGGACTCTGCCTGCTGGAGGCAGAGGCGTAGCGAGCGCCCTCCGTACCCTCCGACCGGAGGGGGCCCCCACAAGGAAGGGGGCCCCTAAAAGTGGCAAAATAAATACCACATTCCAGTTTCTGCATTGTAAGGGGCCCCGCCCAGACATATGTTCGGAGGGGGCCACCGTTCGGAGGGGGCCACGTTCTTTGTTGCTACGGCCCTGGCTGGAGGCCAATGGGAGCAGCTAAATCAGGCCAGGCGCCCCATGAGCCACGCCGTACTCTGTGTGAGGGGAAGGGAGGGGAGGGAGGAAAAATCTTGGACGCCCCCAACCACTTGGCACCCTAGGCGAGCACCTAGTTCGCCTAGTGGTTGCACCAGCCCTGAGGACACTTCCCCAGTGGCCTATGGGTTCCCAGCCCAAGCGCCCTAAGAATAGCAGCTATGTGCCACCATGTCCTTTTAACAAACTGCTTTCAGTTCCCTGGGCCACTTCCCCACAGCCTGAGCCTTCATCAGTGTTTCTCCCTTACCTCAGGGCTCTTATGTGTCAAGCCAAGCAGCCAGCCAGGAGGTCTTGTTCCAGAACTGAGCTGTCCCTGGTACTGCAGTTCCCTTTAGCCAGCCAGGAGCACCATCTGCACTCCACTAGCTCCAGCAAGAAACTGCCTATGCACTGCACTGCAGCTCCTTTTTATATGGCCCTCTTGAGCTCTAATTGGCTGCTTCCCCTACAGCCACTCTAGGCTGCCTGGAAGACTCCTCTATTGCTCCTTTCCTGGGATGGGTATGGCAGGACCCTGAGGCCTCCAGCAGAGGCATCATTTCTTTTTCCCACAAAAGCCTAGCTGGAAGAGACTGCCCATCAGGAGGGGATTCCTCTCGGGGTTGAGTTTGTAATCAGACTTGCAAATGGCCAGCTATTTTGGCTCTCAGAAGGTTCCTCCCCTCCAAAATGAGTGCCCATCCCAGGAGAATGGGAGACAGGACAAGGGGCTAACTACTGCACAGCTGGAGGTTTGGCTCAGATACGCCTCCAAAGGTCTGTGATGCCCAGTGCCACCCGAACCTCCCTGCTCCAGGCCCTTTAGTAATCATCTCCACCCCGTTCCCTGTGCCGCGGACCTACTGCTGGGCCCAGTTTCCCACAGCAAGCGTTCTGCAGGTCCCGCTAGCTGGTGAGTTAAAAGGGAGAGGTTCTGGGGCTGCGGCCCAGTATGCGCTTGGAGCAGGAGCAGTCAGGGGCCTGCAAAGCTGCCATGCCCCGCGAAAGGAGGTGGGGAGTGCAGGATAGGGTGGCTGCCCATTGGAGGGCGCCTAGAGAAGGGAGCAAGGGAGCTCTATGGAGGGGTCATGGGGTTCAGAGGGCTCGTTGGGATAGTGAGTCATGGGGACAGGGGACGGGAGTCTGGGGGAGGGGCGCAGAGAGAAGGTGGGTGCAGCCAATGCATTGGGACCCTCTCACTTCATGTGCCGCAATCCAGGGAGGATGCAGGGGATGCGCTAGCTCCTCACCTCGACTCACCCCAGCAGCAGGCGGTGGGAGCAGGGCTATTCAGCACCACTGTGGAGCGACTGTAGGCTCTGCACCAGGCTGAGAGCATGGGAATGTGTCAGTTGCCCCTCTACTTAATACCAAACCAGCGCTTGTCACAGGCTGCTCACAGGGCCTCGTGAGGCCTGGCTCTGCCACAGCATGTGCTCGTCTGAATGCTAGCGGCACTCCTGCCTTATACAGCTCATCATTTCCCTCAGCGTGGACAGACACAGCTGGTGCCTGGCCCCTCTCGCTCACACAGCGCGGCTTGTGCCCTTGAGGTGAAGTACCCGGGGTCTGTGCCCATGGACAAGCATAGGATGCTGGCTTGGTTCATCAGATTTGCTTTGCTACCGAGACGAATGTCCTGCTGCGCCGGGCCAGCACCGAGGCCAGCTGGAGAGTCCCCGCTTCTGCTCCGTGGTAGGAGTGTGTGACAGTGGCTGCGGGGCCTGGCCTGAGCCTTGCTAGTGACTGTGGTGTTGGCAGGTACCTGGCCAAGGCCTTGCTCTGACCCGATGAAAGTCCTGCACAAGTATGAAATGACTGTCACTGCAGGCTGCATCGCCCTGGCCTGCATGCAGCAACGGCAGCTCCTTCCACATCGGAGCTGAAGGAGTCCTGGCTCCCCACTCCAAGAGGCAGAGCGTGTACTGGCTGAGCTGTGAGAAGACAGCGTTTCTCTGCTGCGAGCCCTGGGGCCGCTGGTGGAGGGGAGCACGCTGCTGGCCTGCGACAGGGCATCACTCGCTGCCCACTGGCAGAGATGGGGTGGGAAGGCATGCCAGTTACGTTTGCTGTGCTGGGACTCCCCCCAACCCCATCCGGTCCTTACACAGTGGTGCATATTCCACTGCCCTGACTCCCTAACATAAAATAACCCAACATACCCAGTGTCACAGTTATTCCATGTTCCCCTGGTCCCCCACCCTCCTGGCCCACAACGAGATCCAGCAGTTCCCCTCCACACACAAGGCCCCTCTGGATAGCTCCCCACTGGGAATGCGTCTGTCTGTACCACCTGAGCTACCCCTGGCAGAGAGCCCTGGCACTGCACTGCTGTAATGCCAGGGCAGGTCTGGGTGCAACGCCAGGCTGGGAGGTGAGGAAAGGTGCGTTTCGTTCTGGGATCTGTCGCGGGCTGAATGTGCAGCCTTGAACGGGTCCCAAAGCCGCATCAGTCACCCCCGCAGTGCAATGGGGGCGGTGAGGGTTCAGCTGCTGACCCGCCTAGGACTGGAATATTTCACAGCGAAGCCCAAAGCCGCTAGCCAGGGCAGGGGAGGCAGGAGAGGTTTACTTGGCTTGTCTCTGTGCCCACCGGAGGCCATTAGCTGTCCAGTGAAGGGGGAAGGTTCACTGCTGCTGACTTGCTCTTTGATTTCAGGTTCTGAAAGAAGGCAAAGAAATGGAGGGTTCCTTGGAACAGGACATTAAGAAGCAAATGTAAGATGGTTATTGTTAATATTATCATCATTGTCACTGTGACCAGTATGGCAATTTCTTGCAATAGCCTTGAAAAACCTTACCTAATTAAGTTTAAGCATCGTTGGGGTCCATTGTATTAAATGCAAAGGTTACATTTTACTGTGGGTCGGGATTAAATGTAACCCCTCTTTGTAGGGGGTGATGGGATGTGACCACTGGGAAATGTTATGAACTGCAGAGGACTGTACTGAACAATGGGCCAGACGTGAATGGACTTTTGGGGTAGACAGTGTTGCGTGGATTGCCTGAGGAAGTGAATGCAATTCCCCACCCCTGCTGATGCAAAAACCCAGCCTTTGGAAGCTGCGCCCAGAGAAGGGCCGGCCTGCTCTGCAAGCTGCAGAAGTGCCCAGAACCCAGGGAGGCAGGAAGGTGCTCAGGCCCCAGCAGGAGAAACTGTGGAGGCCTGGGAACTGTGCAGCCTGGAAAAGCCCCAGTCAGGAGGGACCATGCCCTGCTACAATGCATAAGAAATTCTGCATTTTCTTTTTGAATTACTATCTATTTGACACATTCTTTATGGATTCAGAGATCATATGATCATCTAGCCTGACCTCCTACATTACAGAGATCAGAGAACCTCACCCAGTGATTCTTGTAGTGGAGGGAATTCTCCGGTAATCCCAGATTTTCCTCAGTCAAGCAAAAATGAGTGAGGCCAGGCTTGCCATGGGGGTTGACTGCTTTCATTTGGCTGTATCCCACCTGTTTGTTAATTGTCCCATGGAAGATCTGGGGTTAGTTAGGGTTATTTAGAGCATGACAAAGCTTTTTCATTGAAAAGTAATGCTGCCAAAAAATGGCTTTTGTCAAAAATGAAAATGTCATGGCAAAAATTTCACTTTCAATCAAATTTCCCAATTTTTCGCTGAAAAACCAAATATTTTTCAGTAACATTTTTTACTAACATATTTTTCAGTAACAGTTTTCCAAGAAAAACCACAATAAAATTTGCAGGAAATTTTAAAAGAATTATATTGATTTTTGGGGGGTTGTTTGAGGCTTGTTTTCCAAAATTTGGCATACTTTTTAATAGTGATCACTGTAAGAGCAGAAAACCCTGGGTTGTGATTGGCTGGAAACAGTCACGTGATATCAATAAATCACAACTATTTACCCCTTCAGTGTATTGAGTCCTGGGACAATATTAACTAATTAGATCATATATGCATATTTGCATATGTCTCCTAATTGGCTTCTGTGCCAAAATAAATATATATCTGTAGAAAGCAACAGAGGGTCCTGTGGCACCTTTAAGACTAACAGAAGTATTGGAGCATAAGCTTTCGTGGGTGAATGCCCACTTCATCAGACGCAAGTGTGTCTGATGAAGTGGGCATTTACCCACGAAAGCTTATGCTCCAATACTTCTGTTAGTCTTAAAGGTGC